GGCACGTGGACCCCCAGAGCTGGCCACTCCCCCCTGGCCAGGCCTGTGCAGCACCTCGAACCAGGCACAAACGGGAACTCACACCTTTGGAACCTCCAGTTGGATTTTCGGAGCCTTCGTTTTCAAAAATGCATTATATATGTCTTGTTCTCCTTCAGACTTAAGGGGAAATGATAAAAACAGCGAAGGGCTTCTTTTATTTTCTAAAATGGCCCCTTCTCAGTGAGTCCCAGGCGCATCCATAGCTGCAAGCCAGCCGGGACAGAGAGCTGCTATCCTGCTGGCCTCGGCATCCCAGGCAGGGCTCCATGTTTGTTGAATGAATGAGTGAGGCCCTGGACCTCAGTGTGACCTGAGGTGGGACCTCCAGCACCCACCAGGGCCTCCTAGGCCATCATGAGGAGCCTCTTACCTGGAAGGCTCCTTGGACAAGCGGGGCGAGCTTGCCCCTTGGGGCGCACATGTCTGTTGGCCAGAGTCCATCTGGAAGACCATGTGTGGGTCTTTTCTGACTAAGCCTGTATGCCAGCACTGGCATCGCATAAAAAAGCCACGCTGGCCCTGCAGTCAGCCATGGACTCAGTGCAAACTCCAGCTCAGTCCCAGCTACAGCCGGGTCCAAGGGACCCCCGGAAGGAACGTGCTCCCTGGCAGGCGGCAATTATAGTTGTAACAGTTAGAGATGTAATTCTCCCGCTGTTGGCTGCTCCGAGTGGCACTTGCAGAATTTAGACGGCGCACGTTAATGTGGTGCCCATTTACCTCTAGGAGAACTTTCACAAAGGTGTTGTTTTTTTTCTTTCCTTTTTTCCTAATTGGTTTCTACTAAGTTCTAACCATAAATCCTGGATTTGACTTGGTTAAGAGACCCCGTCTGATCCCTGTGAGCACCGCGGCTGGCTGGCTCTGGTGGCTGTGGGGGGCACGGTGACCCTGGACACAAGGAGCTGGCTTGCAGACCTGGCACCGCTCTCCATCCTGGCTGGTGGCTCATCCCAAGCAGAGGGCATGAGGCCAGTCTGGGAGCACAGGGCACTGTTTTCCCGCTGCCCCTCTCCTGGCTTCTGCCACTGCAAGCCGGGCGGAGGGAAATGAAGGTCACAGCCGATGGTGCTGCTTCAGGAGCGGTGGTGACTGCCAGCCACACGGTGTGGTAGGGAAGCCTGTGGCCACGCCCCTGGGCCTGTGAAAGTGCCGATAGGCACGAACTCCATACATGTCTTCTTTTCCTCCAAAAACAAAGCACAGACACAGCAGATTTGGGTCTCTCTTGATGTCAGTAATTACAAACTTGACATGTGCACTGACCTAAAAAGCATTAGAATATCAGAAGAAGAGTAGTTCATTCTTCAAGGCCAGCGGCTCCACCTTGAGAGAGGCACTGGGTGAATCGAGGTATCTGTCACAGAGCAGTCTCTGTGTGTGACCTGTCACAGCCAGGCCACCGCAGAGTCCCCTCCGGGAAGGAGACAGCCACACGCGTGCTTTCCTGTAGCCATAGCGAGATGCGGTCCCAGAGAACAGGCCTGGTGGCCTTGGACCCGGGCCTCTCCAATCCAGGTTGCATCCCCGGTCAGCCCACAAGCTCCTCCCCAACATCTATGGCCTTGAGGAGCCGGAGCCCTGGGCTGCCTCTTCCTTTTTGCTGGACTCGGAGCACTCCCACCCATGAACCCCCAGCCCTGGGGCTCAGTTCTGTTGTGCCTCCTGCCCCCTCTCCTGCTGCCTGGCACCGTGGAGGGAATTCCTCAGGGACTTTGGGAGCCGTGTGTGTGGTGTGGCAGCGCCACCCGATGAGCACAGTTGAGCACGGACAGCTACCATGTGCCCTGGAACACGATCCCGGGGGCAGAGGGAGAAGAGCTTCAGGCTGCAGTCCACCCTGGACAGATGTGCTCCCCTCCCTGGGCATGGTGGGGCCCATCATGGCTCCCTGGGCACCTCCTGTGCCCCTGGCCGTGGTCCAAGTACACATGCTGTGTGGGTGGGCTATTCTCAATAGCGGCTCGCGGTGGGTGCCTCAATGTGGTGGCTGATGGAAGTGGGAACGCTGGGCCCCCAGTGCCTCAGTGCCAGGGCCTACTGGCTCCTTTTACACCACCTTAGCGGCTCAGAGTGACCTAACGGGGGACGACCACAGCTCTTCTGCTGGGACAAAGCCTGAGAAAAGGAAATGGCTTCAGGGCTGATTCCCCAGGTCTCACCCAGGAGACCCTGGGGGCTCCGAGGCACGTCTGGAACAGCCCTCCCAGCACTGTGGGCGCTGAGAACACGGCCATCTGGCTCTTCCAACAGTGAGCAGAATGCCCAGGGCCCGGGATGGATGCGCCAAAGCCTTCATCCTTCCCTCGAGTGAAGGACAGCATCTCCCCGAGAGGCTGGAGATGCTGAGGGGCAGGGGTTTCGGCTTGTGACTTTCCAGGCTGCGATCCAAACCCCTTTCGTCCGCACTTTGAAACAAAACCTAAGCTAAACTACAGCTGACCACCAGCCTAGAAGCATTGACGCTCGAAGTGTCCACTCCTGACAACTCGTCCTGCTCCTGCTCCCCCAGACAGCGGGGATTCAGGCCACAACTGGTTAACTGTGCAGGGCGAATTCGAGCCGGCAGCGCAGGCTGACTGTCTTCACTCAGCACTGTAATCGGCACATCTGCAGACAGGAAATCCTCCTCGCTGCGAGTTCCCAGTCTATTATCTGAGACACCTGGTGTGGGTGGGTGATTCAGAGACAAACAATGAGAGGGCCCCCTGCACAGCAATTAACTGCTTTAACTGCTAATGTGTTTAATCCACCACGTGGAGATCAAGGCTGCGCGGAGGAAGAGGCTCAGAGTCCTCCTTGGCTTCCAGACTGCAGGGCTGACTTTGCCATCCCCACATGCACTGTCCTCGCCAGCTGTGGCCCAGGCATCAGGCACATGGGCATCCGGGCTAGGCCGGCACTCAGCCCCACTGGAGCTCCCGGCAGCCCTCTGCGTGTGTCCACGGGGCATGAGGGGCATCCTTCCCTTTTCTGTTTTTAACTGATGTCAAAGCCCAGATCTCTGCTGGGGCGGGATGTCCGGTCCAAGAGCTCTGTTGCACCAGCCGTGTGGCCCCCAGGGCGTTTTATTTTAACCTCCTGGATCGGATCATCCTTTATTGCGAGTAGAAATAGAGCTTTGGTTAAAGGCTTACAGGAGTAAACCGGCAGAAAACATTCCCAGTCGTTCAGCTGGGAAGTAGCTCCTGATGTTTACAAAACCTGGCCCAGGAGCGAGCAGCAAAGTCAGCACATGCCCGTGCAGCCCCAGAAGGCGTGCCAGAAACCGCCGCCTCCGCAGCGCCGCCTGGGGAAGCAAGGTCAAAGGCCAAGGACTGTGAAAAGCTTACACCCCCAGCATCAATCACGCCGGGCAGACTGTCTGGGGATGCTCTTTTTGAAAACACAAAAAATAAAATGAACTCCTGGTGGGGGAGGGCAGGCATGCATGTTGGGGGGCCTTGCTTGTCATCCACCAGGCCCCGTCTGGGAGCTGGGCGACCCTAAAGCTTTCCGAGGGCACAGACCCTTGCCCTCTGAGCTGCTGCCATCAGCATGGCCTCAGCAGGTAGTGCTGGGTGCAGACTTGCGCCTCGGTGCAAACGTGGAGGCCAGGGAGGTGGGGGCACAGAGACATCAGAAGACGCAGGGCTAGTGCTGGGGTACAAATGGGAGAGAGAAACATGCGCCTCCGAGTTTAGAGCGGAGTTTAAGATATTAAAGGTCAATTTACATTTCTGGGTCTGAACAGTTATACAATCTTTCAGTGTTCATCAGCATAAACCTACTTAAAGTTTACTTTTACAATCGGATCAAGAATATTTCCTTTGGTAATTTACTGAAGTTTGATGAAGAGGCACTAAGTTCACTCTGGGGCATTTCCGATCCTTTTCCTTGTTCCTCAGATCTGCTCATGTTGACCACCAAAGTGAAGAGCTCTGACTCCTCTGGAGTTCAGCTCCCCTTGTGATTTCCGATCACTCTGAGCAACTCGGAGAATAGGCTTTTCAGAAACCCACTCTGTGATGCAAACCTGCTCCTGCCTGGAGCCCCACCTCAAAGTGCACGGGAACCGAGCCACCAGGTCTTAGCCAACACCGACCGGACGCCCTCTGAGCACTCGGTACCCACGTGCTTCATGGGCATGAGCCCGATGACAATCCTGTTAGCCACATGGATTTCCAGCCCACGTTCACCGAAGAGGACAACTGACCAGGCGGAGAAAAACCCTCACACTGAAAACATCAAGGGTGAGCAAGACCCCGATTTAACATGCAAGTTGGCGGGTGATGAGGAAAACAACTCTAACCCCAGAAGCCACAGCAAGAGCGTCCCACAGAGACCAGGCTCCCGAGGGCATGGTGTCTGGGCCCCGATCTCCTTACCCAGCTCCAGGCCTTTCCTCAAAGCCCATTCCCCTCCTGAGTCCAGCCCAGGTCCAGGCCCTGAGCAAGGATCTTCCCCCACCACACCCACACTCTCCACCCTCCTCCTCAGGGTGGCCTAGGAGTGCAGGGAGGGCCCCGCCTGGGAGGGAGTGTGTCTGGCAAGGTGGGCAATGGGCGAGTTCTGAGCAGCCACACTTGCCCAGCCTTTGCCCTACCAACAGCTGCCCCAAAGCCTCTCAGAGCACTGGAGGATGAGAACACAGCCCATGCCTGGCCGGGAAAGGCCTCAGGTCTCTGTCCTGTCCCTGGATGCTGTCTTTGGAAATCTGCAGTGTGACTTCTGGAAAGGCCGGTATAATGGCCCCCCATAGCATGTGATGACCTACAGAGCGCCCAGCAACCCACTGGGAAGTTTATCAGGAGCAATCGCACAAGTCTTTACGACGGCCCAAGAGGTGCACTGTAGCGCCAACCCACCTAAGAGCCAGCAGGTGAGGGAGCCCCTGGAGGCAGTGGGAGGGGGAGGCGGTGCCACGCTCTCCACGTGTGTGCACTCTTGCACGCGCACGCGTGGCTCACACACCTTACCTATGGCCCACAGGACGGTGTTGAAGGTGTCCATGTCCTCCCTGCCAGAGGCGGTGTCCTTCCAGGTGACCTGAAGCTGGTTGTCCGGGAGCCTCTTCACTCTCAAGGGGGTGCAGCCCTTCAGAAACCTGGTTCCGTGAGAAGCCATGTAGTCCGTGACCAAGGCTGACATTTGCTGCAAAGCCGAGGAAAAGGCTATGAGGACCAGGTGGCAGTGAAAATGCAGCTACTGATGACTGAGCAGGAAGAGAGGACCTAGCCGCCTGCCTCCTTGCAAAGGCCCTGAGGTGGGGATAAGAGGGGTCTCTTCAAAGAGAGGGTTCAGGGCCCCCTTCTTCTACATGGCCCCATGCAGACCGCCCCCACCTCCGGGCCCCCTTCTTCCCTGTGGAACTGAAAGAAGAGCCAGGAGATCATAGGGCACCCCCTCCCCCAGCCCCCAGCTCTAAACCAGAGACCCCTGAGCCATTCAGTTAGGATGCACTTGACCTCTGGGCTCTGTAGATGCTAATTAACTGTCTCCACTGAAAGTAATGGCAGAGAAGCACCCCTTTCTCCTGGGGGCTCCCCACCCTCCCTCATGGAGCAGGGAGCTGGGACAGTAGGTGGGCCCTCTGTTCCCCACCAAGAAATGCAGGGGTAGTGGGTGTTGCTGGGGGGCGAGTCATCTACAGAGAGGGCTCCTTGCTCCCAGCCCGAGCTCCCAGGCTGCAGACGGGAAGCCTAGTTCCGGAGCCACCGTGGGGCTTGTCACCAAGGCGCGGTCAGCCACAGCTTCATTTTTCAGGAGAAAGTAAGTCACTTTAAATGCTATTGTCTGCTCAGATGCACCAGCTCACTCAGGGACGCGGACACCAGGAGAAGCCCCGCCTCTCTGGGATTGTCGCACCCGTCACAGGAGCAGGCAGGGAGGCTGGCTGCCCTTCCTGGAGCCCTCGGGACTCCTGGCCGCCTGGACATCCCTGTCAAAGTCTGAGGGGAAGTGCTGGCCCCCTTGAGCTAAGTGCAGGTCCACCATCGCCCGGCCTGCCACTGGGGCTGCATGAAGAGCTCTGACGGACTCTTTTTGCTGAAGCACGGCCTTGGCCGCCTGGCCTTGCCATTGTCCTTCCCCCAGGGCACACCTGGAGCCTGCTCCCTCCCCTCCCGGCCCCCCTGGGTGATCCCATTGCCTCCAAGTGGGACTGTGCCCAGGCATCTGACCGCCTCCCCTGCTGCGCTGCCTCCAGCCCAGCTTCACTCACTCCAGCCCCTCAGGAGGCCTGACCCAGCCTCTTCTCCTTCCCTCCATTGGCCCCTCTCTGGGAACTACTCCCCCTCTCATTGTCTCCAGCTTCTGCCTCCATTCAGTGCCAAGGCCAGCCCTCCTGCAGCCCTGGTCCCGCAGTCCCCTCTGCCTCTCCTGCCTCCTCCGTGTGGCCTCCTCGTGGCTTCTGTCTGCTGCCTGGTATATTCTCCCCACAGCCCGGGGCTCAGAGGCCTGTCCCCACAGCAGGCACTCAGGGCCTCTGCGCACATGGTGGGCCCTCCGTGGCGGGCAAGTCTCTGCACTACCGAGCAGGGCAGGGCAGGCCCAGGAGCGGAGGTTACACTGAGGGCCAGTGGGACAGTGTGATGAGGGGCTGTCTATCTTCTTTGGGGAGGCACGGGGGGTTTGCCATCGTAACAACCCCACGCTTGGATTTTAACAGGTGACCTTTCCTTGGAGAGTTTTTAGTTAAAAACATTCAACATCCTGTTCACATGGGTGCATCTGCCATCGGCAAGGGTGTCTGCGTCCCAGACCCTCGTGAGGACAACCTGCACAGGTGAGATGGCCCTCTGGCTCCTGCCACACAGCGGTCAGGAGTGGGCACATTCAGCTGGCACTGCCCCTGTACAAGGCATGTGAGCGATGAGGCCTCAGAGGCCATACTGATGCTCCGGGTGCTCAGGGTGGACTGCCCACGGCCGGTAACCGAGTGCTCGTCAGGGCTCTCGGGTTCCGTCTTTCAGTCTATGGCAGGTGGCCAGGAGCTGCTATCTTCTGAAGTGGCCGCCCAGGGCCTCGCCAGTCTGCCACCTGCTTCCTTGCCTGGTGCTCCCCTTGCTGAGGGGGCACCCCCATCAGACCCCAGCAAGGAGGCGGGGCCAGCACCTCTGCTGCCATACACCTGCTGATGGAACCGCCGAGGCCCGAGAGGCTGGCCCGGCACGCCCAGAGCTGCCACACGCTCGACATGACAACCCTGCCTCCACTCTGGCAGGTGCTTTATGTTTTATGAACAACCTCCTCATTCAACTCAAGGGCCACACACTTGAGAGGCTCCCAGCCCACACCTGCGCCTGCCTGGGCTGGGGCCACAGGCTGGTGTGAGCAGACCACAGGGTGGGAGCTGGGCCTGGGCTGTACCTGGTCAAAGCCCCGCAGAGGGATGCTGCGCATCATGACGGTGGTGTCCAGGCCCAGGCCGGTGAGGAAGCCGGCGCACTCCAGGGCCACGTCTGCCAGAGACAAGCTAAGGAGTGCTCGCTAGCCATCACGACATCGGGAGCCACGTGGCGAGATCCCCAGGGCCCACACCACAGCCCACGTCCCACCAGCCCCCAGCCGGCCCAAGGAGTCTCCCAACACCAGCCGCAGAGCACCCCTCCCCCATCTCTAAATGTGGGGGACAAGGGAGGGGCTCCCTCCAGCACCTACGGGCCGGGTGGCTTCTGCCTCCACGGGGCATCTGTCCAGACTCCCCGGAGTTTCATCTCAGCCTCTAGGATGAGGCCCACTCTGTGGGGTCCGAGTGGTGATGGAGAGGAAACGCCCCGTCCATGAAAGACACAAGGCAGCGGCTCTGGCCTGTGTTCTCGGCTGGCAGTCCCAGCACTTTCATCTCCCAGAATGACCCCCTTCCTGACCCCAGGGCCTCCTGTGGCTCCTCTCCTGACCCCCCTGGTCTGCTGCTCCCTCTAAAGGAACAGACCTGGGCGAGTGGGGCTGCTCTCCAGGGAGGATCACCTGCCTCACGGCTGCGTCCAGCTGGCCCAGCTGCCTCAGCCACTCAGTGTGTGGCTCAGGAACAGCCTCCGGAAGCCCTAGACTCAAAGGTCAGCCTAAAATTGTCCCCTGAGCACAGGTCATCCGCCCTCAGTGGCCCTGTAAGTGCCTGCTTCCAGGCAGCGGAGTGTACTCCTGGGCAGAGGGAGAGCGGTGGGGAGGGCTCTGGGCACGGAGCTTCCCCCCTCGGGACGCAGGCTGGCCCTTGGTCTCCTGCACGCCATCAAAGGATACAGCTGGCTCCAACCACCAACCTGTTAGGAATGAACGCAGAGAAGAAGAGCAGAAGTGAGTCTCACACGTGGCCCACCGTCACACACAAGCAGCTGCTCCAAGGGGGGGCTCTGCCATGGGGACAGGGCTCTTCAGCCTCCGTGCAAGGCACTCAGCTGATGTGTGACTGCGGGCGAGTCAGCTGAGGCCGAGTGTTCAAACAGCTTGTCCCAAGGTACAAAACCCACTTCCCAGAGGCTGCAGGTGGGAAATACAACATGACAAACAGTGTCATTGGATCAGAAAATTGCCTGGTGGTGAAGGATGTGAGTGGCCAGTGACAAAACAGCACATGTCCCATGAAAGGCCCTGGAAGTGGGACCACATGGACCCAGGGGCCTGTTGGGAAAAGCCCAGTTCGAGGAAGCAGAAGGGTTTTCCTTCTTCCTCAGCTAAGCTCTGCCTTGGGGTCTCTCTGGACCTCCTGCAGCCGGGGTGGAAACAAGGACACTTTGCAGAATGGGGAGGGCACCACACAGTGGGTGGGGGCTCCTGGAAAGCATCGTCTATGGGCAGAACACTCTTGACCAGGGAAGGCCAGGCCGGAAGGCTGACACCTGCCTGTCCAGCCCCAGCACACGCCGGCCCAGGGCCTGGAAAGCCAGCGTCTCTGAGCAAGGAGAAGGGTGCCTGGGAGAAGAGGCAGACACAGGACACAGGGACCCAGCAGACTCGTTTAAAGTACCTGCCATAGTAGTATAAACGCTCTCCCGCAGTTCAGCTCCACGCTTGGCATGCATACACATACACACTTGCACGCATGCTCACACATGCACGCGTGCACGGAACCTAACGCAGAATGAAAACTCCCAGCCTGGGAGGCGATGTGTGGGTGGGCTTGTCAGATCACTGCTTCAGCCTTTGAACAAGAGGAGGTGATGTAAGGATGGCTAAGCCTAATGTCAGCTCTAATCCCGCCAGGTACTAATGATATAATTCCATTTCAAGAAGTGGCGGATCCCGGGGAACACTCCTGCAGGTGCCCTGAGAGAAGCAACTGGCACATGGCTTCCTCTCAGGAGCTGGAGAGAGCCATGGAGTCACGCCTGGGAGACTGCAGTGAGCTCAGTGCACGGGGAAGCCGAGGGGACTCCTACACCCGTGGGGTGTCACCTAGATGTCTATGCATAGGCACGTTTTCAAAATTCCAAAAGACCTAACTTTTTTTTGGACTTGATGTATATGGTGGAAGGTATAAGCTTTTCTTTAAGATATGAAATTACGATACAAACAGATTTTAGCTACTTTGAATACCTGCCCCAAACACAAGAACAAAGCTGAGCCAGAGCATCAGTGCTGACCACACAGCGAGTGCACTTTGCTCCCTGCTTCCAGCAGCAGCAGTGGCGTGTGCTGACCACCAGGGCAACCCCTCTGTCCTCCAAATGGCCTGCCCTGCTCGTCTCCAAGCCTCCCTGTCTCTATAAAAGTGGGCCGTCATGCGGAGTGGACTGTCCACAGCCTGTGGCCTACAGACAGCTCTAGACCTCATGCCACATTGTATACAACGTGGTCTCCTGATCTGGGCAAACACATTATGTTTCTGCAGCCCCCACATTCCTCCCTACCCTCCTGCACTAAAGATGGGGAGTTGGATGGAGAGACAGGGCAGGCAGGCGCTGACTCCCAGCTCCTCCCACAGGCACCCCTCAGTACACTGGGCCTCCCACTCCCATCTCAAAGTTATGGTGCCCCCAGCCCCAGGGCCACCAGCTCTGAGTCGCCAACAGGGGCATATTTGGGAGGAGGCAGGAGCCAGGCAGGCCTTTCCGAAGGGGTTGTCCTTGACCAAATGTGTGCAGCTGAAATCCCACAAACAAAAGCAGGCCTCCCACATGTGCCGAGGGTGGCTCTGGGCCGCTTCCTGCCTTCACGAGGCAGGATTATCAACCATCTTGGTTCTCACTCCACCCTGCACCCCAAGTTGTCAAGTAATGCTTATTCTTTGAAGAACGAAGGATCCGAGAACTCGGCCAGGGAACCCCTTCGAATGGACTCAAGTAAGAACGAGATGGAGCAAAAGTGGAGCCTCCAGGTCATGAGTGGGGAGAGTGCCAGGAGGCAGGGGGCCATCTCGTCTTTATTGGTAAGTTTGAAACTGCAGACCAGCTTCCACTGGCCACTGAGGACATGCTCGGCCTGGATAGGGGTCTGAGGATGATGGGGCTGAGCCTGGGTGCCGCGTCACAGTGACCAACGCTGGCCTGGCTGGCCAGGGGAGGACAGCAGTGCCAGCAGCAGAAGTCGGGGGCCAGCTTGTTGCACCTGGGGGAGGGAGAAGTGAGCTTCTGTGGGCTGGAAATGTGCCTATCTCTGCATTAGGAGGCCCAGGACTGGGCCATCAGCCTACGCCGGAAGTCACCACATGCCCTTGGAGGCCCCGATTCCATTTCCCTGTGCTCTGAGCAGTCCTACTCTCTGTGCCTTTCGGTGTGCAAACATTTTACACGAAGGTGTAGCTACAGCGGGATTAGCCTAATCACAGTTCAAGATCTGAATGGGGGGAAACAGAAACAAAAGCCTTAATTCAGGCCCGGGAAGCCCTGGCTTAAAGCGCTCTCCACCTGCCTCTCGAGTTTGAAGGCCCTGCTCTGCTCCCCAAGGGGAATACCCACACAAAGTGAGGGCCTCGCGGCAGGCACCTGGCCCCTTGGCAGTCCTGCTAGCGCAGGAAATGCCAAGCAGCCCCCAGGGAGGCAGCACAGGGGGCGGGGGACCCAAGGCCTCCTCCCCCGTGTGGGCCAGCCCCCTCCCACCCTCAGGGCCTGTTGCTGGGCCCACTTCCACCAGGCGCGGATCTCTACATTCTGGCCCCATGACGGATGCCACCTCGGGCGCTGGCCCCACAACTACTGCCGCCCTGAGGAGGAGTCTCCCCAGCCCGAGGCCTCCACGACTTAGTCCCAGGGACACGCAGGGAGGTGGTCAGCAGTGCTGTACAGCCGGTAGCCAGGTCCAAGCTGCTGGCTCACCTCCCTTTCTAGACGTGAGGGTGTCACGCTAGAGGAATATGGAAGTCGGGCAGAAAATGAAAAATGAAGCTGCAGTGAATTTTCCTAAATTAATGGCTATGGTGGCTCGCAAAATAAAATTTACATTCTTCTCTCCTGCTCTTAGGAAGAGGGAAAAGCGGTTACAGTACCTAATCAGCTTCTGAACTCAACAAGGGTCACACAAAAGCTCCTCCCATGACCTCCTCTGACAGGCAGTCCAAGTCACAAACTCTCCCTGCTTCACGCTCGCTGGAGCCCAAGGACAGAGGTCAGGCTGTGGAGCAGCCGCAGGGCAGCGCACAGTCCGGCTGGCAAGCGAGCTGGGCCATGCGGGACAGGCCGGCAGCGCCTCCCTCTGCAGACACTCCAGGAGACCTAGGCGGCCGAGTGGCAGTGGGAACACAGGGTCCTGGGTCCCACCTTGACATGGGAACTCTGCTGCCTGGTGGGTCCCACAAGGGAGAAGAGCCGTCCCAGGTGGCTCCGGTTTCATTCAAGTCCTCTTGGCCATTAGAGAAAGTTCTGACAATGATATCAGCCGAGAGCTCTCGCTCAGAGCCAGGTCTGCAGAGAACTGACCTCAAGCCCAGAGCGAGCCCCAGGCAGCAGGGCTGAGCAGCTGGGCCAGGAAGCCCAGGGGGTTGAGTACAGTGACCCGATTGCCTACCCTTAAGGCATGCAAACAGTTGCAACCCGTAGGGACCAGATGGTCCTGGGCCTGAGCAGGTTGGTGGCTGGGCCCAAGTCCCAACCAGGCTGCCTGGGGCCAAAAGGCCTCTCAGGGGAGAGGGCCCTCCATGTGAGCAAGCAAACATCCTGGGGCCGTGGATCAAGGTGGAACCCGGCTGCTTCGGGGGCACTTGGGTCTAGATACCCCAGTACCTGCATCCTTCCAGGAGCTGTGGGGAGTGGGCCCCTTTCTCCCCTTCCATGTTCCCTCCACCTGCCCAGGGGTTGCCCAGCTGAATGACGGGCCATGCAGGGCTTGGGCCTCCCTAGGCAGGGCTGTGTACCCCCTCTGTGCCCCTACTTCCTCCACTGGTTAGGGACAGCTCCCCAAAGCAGCCATTATTCCCCTGCCAGCCCAGAGGACACCTTCCTTCCTCCAGAATCACCCATACATCTTCAACCCATCCTGCATTTCCACACAAAAATAAAGAAATAAGGCCCTAACCAGTTTGGTGCAGTGGGTAGAGCATCAGCCTATGGACTGAAGGATCCCAGGTTCGATCCTAGTCAAGGGCACATGCCTGGGTTGCAGGCTTGATCCCCAGTAGGGGGCTTGCAGGAGGCAGCCGATCAATGATTCTCTCTCATCATTGATGTTTCTATCTCTCGCTCCCTCTTCCTTCCTCTCTGAAATCAATACAAATATATTTTTTTAAAAAGAGAGAGAAAGAAACAAGAATAATGGAAAAGGCACCCAAGCCGGACACAAAGCTGGCGTTCAGGCGGCAGAGCTGAGGACGCCAACCTGTACAGCCTGCCTCGGCCCCGCACGCGCTGGCCCAGCCCGCCTGGCCTCCGAAGGTCCTGCCCGTGAACTCGGGAACTCACGCTGCACGTGCTGGAGTCCTCTACACGGGATGCGTCACCTCCAGGAGGTCCAAATCGGGTACCCAGCTGTGTAGTGAGGGTGCTGACTCTGTTTTCCGACTGGGCTTGGGCTGGGCCACCCCCTCTGCCATCTATTAGCCCTGGGCTCCTCAGACCTGGACACAAGCAAAGGACGAAAGGGTCTCCTCACCTGCCCACGAGGCTAGGACTGTGGCTGTGGGGGTCCAAAGAGCAACAAAGGTGGCGGAGTAAACGCAAGAGGCTGAAAGCTGCAGGCCCCACCGTGGGCTCTACGTGCCAGATCTGAAGCTACTGGTCACCGTGCGCCATGGAAGAAGGTCTCGTGCTGCCCAGGCCCCGTCACAGGAAGGGAAGAGGGGGGGCCTGTATATGCAGCAGAATCCATGGGAAGCTGGGGCCTGGCGTGCCACCCAAAGCCTCCAACTGGCCTTGGGGAGCTGTTCAGAGGACAGAGTACCCGCTGCCGGGGGAGGCCCGGCGCATCGGGCACCCTCGGCCACCAGCCTGGCCTCCTTGATGGGGCCGAGTAGAAAGTCCTGCCCGGTGACGGGAGGCACTTGGGGCCAGGGGGCAGCCCTCGGGTCCATATTAATTTCAGCTCCATTTTAAAGGCGAGTTAAAATAAACACGGGGAATATTTATAAGGCAAATAAATCTGGCAGAAACAGCCCCTCCAAGTGTGAGCAGAGGCCTCCCCCTCAGCCCCAGCCCAAGCTGATAAAATACAGAAATGCTACTGTAGACCCCGCGGGCTTATTTTGACTGCGCGGAGGAATGTAACATGTAAACACTGACTCCCATATCACACTGTTACAACTTGCATTAACAGCACCGGACAAAAGCTGCATTTTCACAGAAGCATCGTACAGGGATATATCTCCAGCTTAATTTTTTAAAAAAACCATTTCCTCACATAAATCATGCTCAGAACGAAACGGGTGACTGATACATTGCAAACACTTTTTTTCTTAAACAATAACATACCTAGATTCCTTCTAAACGAAAGAGCTTGTTTAAAAAAAAAAATCTTCGAAATTTTTTTTTCTTTTCTGAAGAAAATAAACACTACAGTTTCTTTCCTGACCAAAGTATCTGGGGCCGTGTCTTCCTGGCCGAATGGGCCACGGCCCCCAGCACACGGCCACAGAGGAGCAGTGCGAGCCAGGACCACCTCGCCGCGTGCCGCCGGTACCCACCGCACCCGGGCCTCCCACCCTACCCCTCTGATGCCAGGCACTCTCGCCAATGCCACAGGAAAAGCGGAGTTGAGAGCCAGGGCAGGGCAGGGACTCAACTCCTGGATGAAGCTTTCAGATGGGCCTGAGGGGCTGAGCGGCCAGCTATGCTGGACTCCAGCAGCCTGGTCACCACCCCACCACACCACAGATGAATTGCAAACACCCCGGACACAAAGGCAAAGCTGAAGGGTGGAAGCCCTAAGGGAAAATACAGAAGCTTTTTTTTTTTTAAAGAAAAAAAAAAATCTTGGGGGTAGGGAAGGCCTTCCTGAACATGCAATAAATCTAAAAGCCATTAAGTGTAAAAAGAGATCTAAGTTACATTAAAAAAAACATTTGTACATTGCACAAGTTAAAAGACATGACAAGCTGAGAAAGCCTGCAACATAAACGACATGGGATCACAGTCCTAATATGCAAACCAGCTGGAAGATAAGAGATAAGAGAAGAAAAAGAAAACCAGATAGAAAGCAGGCCAAGGACCAAGCTAACAATTCACACACGCGCGCAGGCACACAGACATTCACACACAAACTCACATACAGATACTCCATTTTACATGGCCGACAAATACACAAAAAGGTTACTAATCATAGCAAATGCAAATAAAACCAGGTCATGTTTAACCTACTGGATAGTCCAAGATAAAAGAACAGAAACCCAGAAATTATGCATAAAGAGAAAAAAGGAATAAATGTGACAACATAAACATTAAAAATTTCTGCATGAAAAACTACCTGTAAGTCAAAAGACAAACCACAGCCTGGGGGTGCTTGTGGAAGGTGATGGACAGAGGGGCACAAACCTGCATGAGCCTGAGCGCAGATGCTGGGAGGGACCCACGGGCAGAAGCCACTGGTGCTCCCCTGATGGGGGCAGGAGAGGCTCCTTTCATTTTTATGCCAATGGAAAAGCTGGTGCCCACATGAGGAGGTAGAACAGGGAGCAGCCCGCCAGGAGGGAGCATGTCAGCAGATGTGTGAAGGTGTGAAGGGCATCTGCCTTGGACCTCAGGTTTCTACTTGTGAGACACCCTCAGGTATATGTTACACATAAGAAGCACTTATGCCCCGGGCGGTTTGGCTCAGTGGATAGAGTGTCCCAGGTTCAATTCTGGTCAAGGGCACATACCTTGGTTGCAGGGTCAATCCCCAGCCCTGGTCGGGGCGCATGAGGAAGCAACCAATCGATGTGTCTCTCTCTCTGCCTCTCCCCTTCTCTTCCACTCTCTCTAAAAATCAATGGAAAAATATTCTCAGGTGAGGATTAACCAAAAAAAAGAAGAAGAAGAAGTAGTATTTATGATGGTATATAAGATGCACACCAAAGGTTTCCATTGCAACATTTTATAACAATGAAAAACACCAAAGGTCCTGTTGCAACATTTTATAACAATAAAAAAGAGAAACTACTGAGATGCTCCAGAACCGTGAAAAGATAAAATAAATTACAATATATCCATTCAAGGGAATCCAGCCTTTCCCTGAACAAAGATGCTTGGTGAACAGGCAATGATGGTGGTGAGCAGAGCACCATGACATGCGCACACTCCCCATGTACACAACACACACACACACACACACACACACACACACACGCCTCATATCTATGCTTGTGCACACATGTCCACCCACATTTCCTTGTAGGCAAGTCCCCAGGCAGCCCAGTGCTGGTCACAACCAAGCCTCTGTCGCCCTCTGGTGGCCTTTTTGGTTGGCATGACCATGAAGTCCCCTCTATAACCTACAGGCAGGAGCTCTATGGACCTAGAACAGCTCTGTGGATGCAGGAAATGAACTTAGTGCATTTTCACCTGCTTGGGAAACATAAAACCACTCACATGCTTCACAGATATCATTTCCACAACTGGGATGTGGTTTCTGGAACCTTCTTTGCCAGATCTCAGGGAAATCCAAGGTACGAACCAGGTGAAAGTAGAAAAGTTTGAGGCCAGAGGGGCTGAGGGCTTTTCCTGATGACCTGACCCTCTTTCCCTCAATGAATGCTCCTCTCTGATGTTTCTGACAGGACCCACTGGAACCCTGGGGCTCCAGGGAACCCTGTTTGAAAACCACTGCCCTAGACAATATTCGATTCACTTGGTGACACATGTGCCATCAGGGCACAAATAATGAGCTTTCTGTCCTCCTCTCAGGGAGACGGGAGGAATGCACTAGGAGAGAGGACCACACAGTATTCTACACGGCCCTGATGTTTAAGAAATGAACAAAGGGGACCGCCACTCAGGCATGTATCAGGTCTTACGTTTTTCCAGGGGATTCCTTCAGCCAGAAGATGTCATCACTTGTAATCCCATGTTCCACGGCACCTTCAATCTATCCAGAAAAAAAGGATCAATGTGAGAGAATGTCATTTGACCTGTCCTAGAGACTTCCTCAAAGGGGACACCCATTTTGTAGACACAACACAACCAGACCCACCCAGCCCACTTGTGGGTGCACTTTCCTGCTCCATAGATTCTTCAGGTTGTGGCCTCTAGAGACAGGTGACCTGTCTGTATCTAACTCGGTGTGCCATCTGCCCAGCATGAATGCACTGCCTCTCCTTGGCTGTGCAAGGTGCCCTGAGAGCCAGGGCACGGCCAGCAGCTCTTTCCGCTCTCCAGGACCCCCAACTCCCTCCAGACCCAGCACTATGGGGAGGGGAGGGGGAAGCTAGGCAGGGGTGGGGGAGCAAGCCATCTTCCAGGGCACCAGACTGAAGGCTGGACGGGAAGGACCAATGGTCTCTACCCTGGAGGGGAAGCACAGGTGGCCGTGCTCAGGAACTATACGGGTCCTCCTGTATCCCAGCGGGGCCTGGTGAGGGGCTCTCGAGCAAGTGGAAAGACACCAGGCGAGCCCTAACCAGTTTGGCTCAGTGGATAGAGCGTCGGCCTGCGGACTGCAGGGTCCCAGGTTCAATTCCGGTCAAGGGCATGTACCTGGGTTGCGGGCACATCCCCAGTAGGGGGTGTGCAGGAGGCAGCTGATGAATGTCTCTCATCGATGTTTCTAACTCTCTATCCCTCTCCCTTCCTCTCTGTAAAAAATCAATAATATATTTTTTTTAAAGAATACTTAAAAAAAAAGAAAAAGACCCCAGGCGAGCACTCCCTCAGGCCTGTGAGAGTAAGATGTGCTGGTGGAGAGGAAATGGATTTCAAACAGTTTATGATTCCAACTGGCAAAAAAAATAAAGCCAGGGATTTCTTGGGTTTGCTGAAGGGAAACCGAAAGGTCTGAAAATCAAAGGGACTGAAACACAAGCAAGTCTTGGCAGGCACCCAGGGGGGTGGGCAGCAGGGTCATCCCGGGTGAGGTGTCAGAGAGCAGGACAGCCAGGACTAGGACCCGCGGCTCCTGCCTCATCTCCCTCTGGGCAAACAGAGACATCGGCAGCTGCCCAGTCGAGGCCCAGCAGGGTGGAGCCCGGCCAGTGCCCTCCACAGGGCACCGGGCTGCGTGCAGCTCCGCCCGGGGCCTCAAAGGACCTGAGATGACTATACTATCCGGCTCCTGGGGCTTTAGGCTGGGCGAGGGGTCACTAACAGTCACCCTGCCATCCTTCAGAGCCAAGCAGCCTGGGCCAGCCCTGAGCACAAGCTCCCCCCCGCCCCGAGGCTGCTCCTGCTGGCCCGACAGCTGAAGGGAAGGCCAGTGGTCTCTGAGGACAGAGGTGTGCTTTTCCCTCGGTGCCCCATTTCCAGAAAAAGCACAAAACAGAAGCTGGAGGTTCGGGGTTTAGGTGTCTGCGAGGAAACAGGACCAGTCCTTGTTCTTCCGTCCATGCTCCATCTGGGTCTCAGTAGGAGGCAGGAGTCCTCAGGCTCGTGGGGCCTGTGGGCCTGTGCCCTTTGCTGCGGCCCATGTGGAGGCTCAGGGCTTGCAGCACCCACTTCCCGGGGACCCTGGGAGACCCTCGAGGATGTGGCTCAACCAAACCCCTGTCCTCCCTTCCTGTTTCCCCTTCTGCCTCACCCCACCTGGGGCCTCTTCCTCAGCAGGGAGGACAGAGAAGCCCCCACATGTAAGACGGGGCCAGGAGATGACGTCAGCGAACAGGGTGTGGACTGAGGGCCTCCCGAGGTCCACCCCTACATAAAAACAGCAAAAGAACTGGCAAAAGCGATCAGATTCGACTTTTTCCTAACTCCGGAAGTTCACCGACGGCTTGTGGCAACACAGGGAACATTAAGTCAAGAAAAATGGCTGGAACTTGGTAAGAATGGTAAGTTCTGTGGAGTTTTCACGTACGCTAGTCCCATCCCCCAGCTCAGTGGCAGCCTTGAAAAATGACAGCACGGAGAGAGCAGCATGGAGAGAGCAGAACGGAGCTGGAGCCTGTTCAGAGCTCCTTCCCCAGGAGCAGCCATTGGCAGGCCTTGCCGGGGGTTCCCTGAAAGACCCCACTCCATAGGCTGGTCTTCCTCTGACCTCCCCTGAACTCGCCCGGCGCTGAAAGCCTCTCCCCGGGGAGGATTTGCCCAGTGACTGAACATCACGGCTGCCTCCAGTGATGGATAACAACTGACGCACACAGCAGCCGAACCAAAAGCGGAAAAGGAAACGCTGGGCCGGAGATGTCCACTGGGGCTTTCAAAAGCTCCAGCGTATTCCTGGATCTAGGTGGCCAGGCGTCGGCACTGGGCTGCGCACATGCCGGAGAAAGGCCTGAAATGGCACTGAGCTCTCAGCCTCTAGCTGACCTCGGGCTCTGCCCCAGCAGGAAGTGAGGGCTAAGGCAGCTCCTCGTGCCTGGCTCAGTGTCGGAGGTTATGCCTCAAAATGCCCACGGGGCCCTCGGCAAAGACGGGAGATTTCTTGGTCCAAGTGTTTAAGGAAATCTCTGTCGTTAGCTGACCACTAAGCTAACTGAGCAGAGAATTCAGTGGCCTCACACAACGAAGAATAAAGATTTTACAAAATCAGTTCAGAAAAATCATCCAACAGCAACACACAAAATCCTACAGTGGAGAGAGACTCTGATTCCCAGAGTTAACATATTATTTAATTTGAAAAGTTCTGTTATTGCCTGGCCGGTGTTGCTCAGTGGTTGAGCATGGACGTATGAACCAGGAGGTCACGGTTTGATTCCCAGTCAGGGCACATGCCCGAGTTGCGGGCTCCATCCCCAGTGTGGGGTGTGCAGGAGGCAGCCAATCAATGATTCTCTCTCATCATTGATGTGTCTATCTCTCCCTCTCCCTTCCTCTCTGAAATTAATAAAAATATATTTAAGAATGAAAAGTCCTGTTATCAACAAAAAACTATGAGACAAGCAAAGAAACAAGAAAGTATGGTAGGAATATGAAATGGTGTAGCTGCTTTGGAAAACAGTCCGGCAATTCCTCAGGAGGTTAAACATAGAGTTAATATGACCCAGCAACTCCACTCCAAGGTAGAGGTATATATATATATATATATATCCATATCCAAAAGAAGTGAAAACTTAAGTCCACAGAGAAACTCCTACACAGATGTTCACAGCAGCACGATTTGTAAAAGCTAAAAGTGGAAACAACCCAGGTGTCCATCAATGGACAAGGGCATAAACCAAACCTGACATATACATACAATGCAATATTATTTGTCATAAAAGGAAATGAAGTTCTGATACAGGCTCCACCACGAACGAACCCTGAAGATGTTATGCCAAGTGCAGAAGCCAGTCACAAAGGCCACACCGTGTGTGATTCCATTTATGTGACATGTCCATAGAGACAGAAGCAGGCCAGTGGCTGCCAGGGGCTGGGGAAGCAGGGACTGGGGTGTGACTGCTAAGGGGTATGGGGATTCATTTTTGGGTATGGGGATGAAAATGTTCTGGAATTAAGTAGTGGTGATTGATGGTTGCACAACTCTGTGAAATAGCCACTGAACTGTATCCTTTAAAAGGGTACATTTTATGGTATGTGAATTTTGTCAATTAAAAACAAAAAGATTTGGGTTTGGAGGAGGAAGAACAAGGTCTAAGTCCTGGATGTTCCAATGTTCTGAGGCTGAAGAGAAAAGGAAGAACCAACAAAGGAGACAGAACAAGTGGCGCTGAGATACAGGAGAATAGGTCTGGTGGTTCCCAGATGCCAGCTGGAGAAGGAATTGAGCCCGGCCAGTGTTGCTCAGTGATTGAGCATCGACCCAGGAACCAAGAGGGCTCCCAGTTCTATCCCAGAATGTGGGCTGATCCCCAGTAGGGGGCATGCAGGAGGCAGCCAATGATGTTTCTCTTTCATCGATGTTTCCATCTCTCTATCCCTCTCTCTTCCTCTCTCTCTAAAATCAATAAAAACTTTTTTTTTTTTTAAAGAATGACTTGAGAATGGCTCTTAGGATTCAGCAGTGTGGGGGTCCTGGTGACCTGATTCAGCAGAGTGGAGTCAAGGAAGAATTGGAAAATAGAAAGTAACGATAGTGAGGACACAAAAACCTTTTTTAAAGAAGAGGAAGAGTGGGGAGTGCTGCTGGGGCGGGAAACATGAGCACAGTAAACAGTGTATCACATGAGCCCAGAGACCATGAACTTGCCCAGGGCGGCAGGGAAGGCCGTGTTCGAGGACACTCACGTGCGTGGGGTACTTCGGTCTCCCTCCAGTAGCGATGACAATGTGCTTAGCTGAAAGCAGAGTCTGAGAAGACACCAAGAAAGCCAGGGTCAGACAGATACGTTGTGGTCACCCACGCCGCTGCCAGCGGGCACCCCAGGGCAGAGACCCACGCTTCTAATGCAACCCCTGCCGGGCACTGCGGACCCTGTGGGCAGCAGCTCAGAGGCCCTGTGGAGCTGGGACCCATTAGGGTCCAGGGACAGACAGAAGAGGGCAGGGAGCTGCTCTAACTCCAAGCACCTCACAGTTTACAAAGCACCCTGTGGGTGTCTGTTTCCTTGAAGCCCCCCTAAACCGTGCGAGGGTGTGATCGCCCACCCTGTGGCCTCATCACGTGTCACCCCACGTGGCACATGAATCGCCCATGTTCCGCTTCATCCCTCATAGAGAATGACAAGGAGCCTCAGAGGAATCTGCCTCGTCCGCTCAGCAGCACTGATTACTGAGAACAGCACCACGGTCCGCGGCAGGTTGGTCGGGACTCACCTCTTTCCCACCTTTTGCGACTCCACGAACCACGTGCTCATCCACAAAGCTGGCCTTCATATTAAAGTAGCTGACTTTTCTGCAAAATAAATAGAATTTTCAAACATTTCCTATACAAATTCAGCATCACCTGTGCAATGAAATAGGGAGCACTGGGTGGCTGGTAAAATGTGAGCGCAGGCCCAGAGTGCACGTCCTCCACCCACAGTCCAGGTGGGGAAGCACGGGGGAGGGGCAGAAGCACGGCCTCTCCTAGGGGTCAGGCACATTCCACCAGAAAGAGACCCCCATGTGCACCCAGTTACCCCAAAACATCCCAACCACCAATTTCCCGCTGGCAAGGAAGAGTGCCCAGAGGACAGGCAGCACCCCAACCTTTAGGGACAGTGAGACCAGGAAATGGGTCCGATGACGAGCACAAGCATGGTCGGGAGCAGGGTGTGCAGAAGCAACCCACCCTCTCTGATCACAAAGGCTATGCTGTGGTGTGGGCTCTAGGTGGCGCTGGGGAGCCTTCACCACCACCTTGACCTGGCGTTCTCCCCAATGCCAAGCCCTGTGCCTCTACGTCCCACCTGAAGCTCCTACAGAAGTCCTCGCTCACCCATGAAGAGCTGCAAGACAGACACACAATTCCACACCAGCCTCCTTCTGTGAGCAGCTCTAGAGCCAGCCCACTGCCCGGCCTGTTTGGTGCGCGCCCGGGGTCAGACAGGGCAAACGGCAGAGCCTGATGCCTCCAGAAAACGGCACTGGGGAGCAGCGAGCCCCATTCGGAGAAGAAATGATGCGATGTGGCCTAGCTCCCCGAGGGACCGCTGGGGAAGCCGGGGTAGCAGCCTCCTGGCTCAGCTTTCTTGGGTAACAGGGCACAATATAGCTGCCTACTGCATGGCCAGGAAGATCCCTTGGGACCAAGCTAAGGGTGCTCAGATGAGGGCCACCAGGCCTCTGAGGGAGTGGGTCTCCTCCATGACCCACGTGGCATAGGGCAGAACGACTGGATAAGGAGCAAAGCTTAGCCTGAGTCAAGTACAGTTTCAGGCACCTCTCCCTAAGCATGGGAGATGCTTTGGTGGCAGGAAATGTCAGCATCTGGGCTGGGGATCCCAAAGGGCTGATGGGCCCTGCTGGCCTCAGGCTGGAGTGATCATATCAGGCCTCTGCTCTAGCGTACAGCGCCAGGCCTCGTCACCGTGCCCAGGGAGCCGGGAGCCAGAACAGGGGCCACCTGCTAAACCTTCTACATCCTGAACCTCACACTTTGCTGCTCTGGGCTCTGCTGGGCCGCCCCGCAGGGCAGCCTCCACTCCCAGGGCACTCGCCTGCCAGCTGCTTATCTGCACGCTCCACCTTCTGAGCCGGGACTCTCATCTCATTGCTGCTGAGCCCCCATGAGTAAGGGCTTGTCAAGGTCTGAGATGACCCAGGGAAGGCCAGGGGGCGGCGAGGCTCAGTACCTCTCCTGCAGCTGGACCCGGTGCCCCCAGTTCAGGGACTTCACGTAGTTTTGAACAGCTTCTGCCATTTTCCTCCTGTTATCGCACAAAACAAAATGTTAAAAGCCACCACAGAAGTGGTAGCTGTAGAGTCCCAAACAGACTGTTAGATGCAAATAGTGCGTTAACAGAAACACCAAGAAACGGAGGTGTTTCTAAAAATGGTCAAACATGATGTCCTTCCCCATGGCCACCACCGCCATCCAGGTTTGGGGCTGTGGACCTTCAGACTCATGGGAAACAGGGCTTTGGTCCCCAGTGGTCAGGACAGGGCAGCAGCCCTGCGTCTAGGTCACCGGGAACCACGAGGGGGCCTGTGTGTGGCTCTCAGTGGACCAGGTGCCGTCTGCTAAACCTAAAATGGCTTCCACCCCGAAACACTGGCCTTGGGGTCAGGTCATCCTATATGGGGGTGTCCTGTGCGCTGCAGGACCTGTAGCAGCATCCCAGGGTGCTACCCAGTAGACGTAGCAGCACACCCCTCCCCCACCCCTCTGGTGATAACCAAAAATGTCTCCAGACACTGCCGCATGTCTGGGGTCCAAGGTTGCCCCAGGTGAACAGCCCCATGGGACAGCACGCTCCCCTGCAGGTTAGCAGATGAATAACCCTCCGCCTCCTCCGGGAGGAGCAGAAAAGCCCTGGGAACAGCCGGGCCCCTCACCAGTCATGCGGGACCTGCTGGGGCACCTCCCAGCCGTAGTAGGGGGCGTCTTGGATCATGCCCCCCAGCAGCGCTGCGTGGTGCATCAGCTTCTTGGGGATGCAGCCAACATTCACGCAGGTGCCGCCGAGGCCCCACCGGGTGCCTGGTATGTTGAGAAGAGCACATTTAGATTTATATGCGGGCAAGGGCTTTCCTGTTCTTCTACAGTTTAGAATCCCCTTAGGTTGTGGTTTGTAACTCATACATGGCCCAGGGGACCCTGCTCTACTGCTTTGCTCTGTATAATCGTGTTCAGAGTCCTTTTTTAGTGTGTTTTGTTGTTGTTGTTGTTGTTAATCCTGACTGGGCCAGGGATCGAACCTGCCACTCAGGTACGTGCCCTTGACCGGAAATCCTCAGGTGCACAGGCCGACTCTCTAACCACTGAACGACACCAGCCAGGGCCAGAGTCATTTTTAAATAAGAACAAGGAAACTTTAAAATAATGGCAGTTTACAGGGAAACAGGGCACTCTCTGGAGACTCTGGAAAGCAGGGGCTCAGCTGCCCTCTGTACCAGGAACTGCCCTTCCCTACCCCCTTCCCAGGACACGTGGCTCCAGTTGGGGGCTGCCTACCTTGCGGGGACGGTTCCACGTAGTCTACCACGGCCACCTTCTTTCCCAGCTGAGCGGCTGGAATGACATGAGGACAGGGCAGGTGGGCACAACTGGGGAGCTGCTTTGGGGCTGGGACCCCAGGAGCCTATGTGACCCAGAAGGGGTGGGAAAGGACGAGGGCCAGTGGCACCACCAGCTCTGCACCTGGGTCTCCCACTGCCTGCTGCCACCCAGCTGTGCTGCCCACAGGCGGAAACCCTCTTCTGGGCCCAGCTCTCCCTCGCCTCCCACCCCACCTGGTTCCAGGCCCAGACACTCAGCACAAGCCTAGTGCCGTCGATGTGTTGATGTTTCTCTCTCTCTCCCTCTCCGAAATCAATAAAAATATTTTAAAAAACAAACATATATCCACACAAAGACACATACACACACGATGTTCATAGCAGCACTGTTCACAATAGTCCAAAACTAGAAACAAACCAAATGTCCATTTACAGATGAATGAACCAACAAAATGTGTGTGAGATATACACACACACACACACACACACACACACACACATGTATGTGTGTGTGTGTATATATATGCATATATATATGTATATATATATATATATATTCAATATACACACACACACACACACACACACACACACACATAACAGAATACTGATCAACAAGAAAAGGGAATGGGCCCTAACCGGTTTGGCTCAGTGGATAGAGCGCCAGCCTGTGGACTGAAGGGTCCCAGGTTCGACTCTAGTCAAGGGCATGTACCTTGGTTGCGGGCACATCCCCATTAGGGGGTGTGCAGGAGGCAGCTGATCGATGTTTCTCTCTCATCGATGTTTCTAACTCTCTATCCCTCTCCCCTCCCCTCTGTAAAAAATCAATAAAATATATATATTTTTAAAAAGGGAATGGACCGTGGATATATACAGCAACATAGATGAATCTCAAAGTAATCCTGCTACGTGAAAGAAGCCAGAAAAAAATACATATAGCATGATTCCATTTGTACACAATTTTAGAAAATGCAAACTAATGAGAGAACACGGATCACAGCTTGCCGGAGGATACCGCAGGGAGGGGGGAGCAGGAAGGACTTCTCAGGGTTTGAGGAAACTTTGAGGGTTGTTATGGGCTGCATTGTGTCCCTCCCAAATAGGGGTGCTAACCCCCAGAATCTCAGGATGTAGCCTTACTTGAAGGCAGGGTCTTCACGGGGGTGAGCTGTTAAAATAAGGCCAGATGGGTAGGCGCTAACACGATCTGACTAGTATCTTTATGTAAAAAGACACTCACCAGCAGAGGGACAACCATGTGAGGACACAAGGAGAAGGCGGCCAGGTACAAGCCAAAGAGAGAGGTTTCAGAATAAACTGACCCTGCTGGCCCGTGACAGCAGACTTCCGGCCTCCGGAACTATAGGAAAATACATTTCTGCTGTTTAAGCCGCTCGGTCTATGACAGTGATGGCGAACCTTTTGACCTCGGCGTGTCAGCATTTTGAAAAACCCTAACTTAACTCTGGTGCCGTGTCACATATAGAAATTTTTTGATATTTGCAACCATAGTAAAACAAAGACTTATATTTTTGATATTTATTTTATATATTTAAATGCCATTTAACAAAGAAAAATCAACCAAAAAAATGAGTTCGTGTGTCCGCTCTGACACGCGTGTCATAGGTTCGCCATCATTGGTCTATGACCTTTGTCATGACAGCCCCAGCACACTAATACAGGGGTGATGGATTCATTATCTTGATTGTGGTACCATTTCACAGGTGTGTATGTATGTCAAACCTTAGCAAGTTGTCCACTTTAAATATATACGATTTGGTAATTATGTCTTAATAAAGTTGTAAAAAATGCCACTGTTACAAAAGCCAAAGACAGACCCAGGAATTGTTTTGGGTTGAGATACGTCTCTAGAGAGATGACACTGAGTGGACACAGGTCGAGGGCTTTCTCCTGCTCTAAGGGACAGACAACTGCCCCTAGAGTGGCTCAGTGGTCCAGTGGAGTGAAGACCTAAAGTCCCTCTGTGAGCCCCCAAATCAGCCAGGAGACTTCCCAGGTTCCTGGCCCTCAGAGCAGGCGGGGCCCCTTCTCCACCCCTCAGAGCAAGAGCAGTGGAGAGTGAATTTCCTTTACACCATCTAAGATTCTAAAACCTAGTATCTGCCACGAGGGAGCCATAGTTTCATGGCCAGGGTGCCTGCTCAACTCCCTCTTGCTTTGGGCCCTGTTTCTCTCCCGTCTCCTCCCCTTCACTCTCCCACATCTGCCCGCTGTCATTTAGACTGGGGAGCAGGCTGCTGGGCGCTCCTCCAGCAGAGCCCAGGGTCTACAGTGAAACCCTGGCGGTGTGTCCCCACCTGGGGGAGTGGCACACTGCAACTCTAGAGAGGCGTGATGTCTCAGGGTGCCTCTGGGTCCAGCCCGTTTACTGCACACCTCTTCACTAAGTGCCCCTGGGTGCCTGGGCCCATCTGGAGAGCAAGACCCAGCCAGCACAACAAACCGTGATCTCTGTGGTATGGTGCCAGGGCTAAGAACAAGGACAGCGGAGCCAGTGATGGGAACTGAACACGCAGGAGGGTACAATTTGCCATCTCAGCAACAAAGACTGGAGGGAGGTGAGTGAGCCCCTCAGCTAACAGGGCAGATGAAGAGCAACCGCCAGGGCATGGCACAAGGCCAGAGGGACCTAGGGAAGCATTTGCAAAACAGCGAAGAGGCAGGGGGCTGAGTGGTGTGAGGGAGGGCATGGGTGGTGGGAGAGATATCCCAAGATGGGGAGGTCCCATGAGGCCTGGGGATGGTGCTGAGGAGGGCAGACTCAGACTTGGGGTTCCAACCTAGCTGCCATGTGCTTCACAGATAACTGGGGTACAGGGGGGAGCAGGGCACAGTGACAAGATTGCTGGGGTGATCCTGGCAGAGTGATAGGACCCGGGAGGCCAGCTGTGGAGACAATGAATTCTGCTCATGGCTTCTCAGGGCACATCCCCACCCAGCCCTGGAGAACACTACCACCCACTCCAGGGGACACTGACAACTTGGTGACACCATCAGGGCACAGGACATAGGACACATACCTTCCTTGGCACAGGCCAGCCCGCCGGAACCCCCACCAATCACCAGGAGATCGTAGTCCGGTCGTCCTGCTGGAATAAGGGGAAAGGGATGAGAAGGACAGGACAAGCCTGGGGCCCCAATCCCAGAAGGTAACACATAATTTCCAAAGGGCAAGCAGCCCCGTCTGGTTAACAGTGGCACAGGCCCTTGCCCGAGCCGGCTTGGCTCAGTGGATAGAGTGTCAGCCTGAGGACCAAAGGGTCCCGGGTTGGATCCCGGTCAAGGGCACATACAGGCTCCTCTCTGGCCCTGAGTTCCTCCCTGGAATGCCTTTGGGGCTCACTGTGGTGTCACCTCAGAGGCAGCATGCATCCTCCATTCCCGTGCCCAGCACAGAGGACTGCTTGTCTCTTCTGCAAATTACTGACATAGAAGGCAGTCAAGAGACAGCCAAAAAGACATGGAGAAAGGGAATGGAGTGATAGGTGTCCTTAGGGATGGCCAGCCTGTGAGAGCTCTAACCCAGGGCCCAAGTTGGGGATACCCAGCACAGGCACGGGATCAAAGACTCTGAAGAGGCCTTAAACTGCTGTCAGTTACTCTGATGGCTTCCATGTGAGCCCCGAGCACCAGGAAGGAAGAAATCATAGGAAATTATCAGTCTGTGGGTCTGCTACCCAAGGCCAGTGAGCCTCAGAGCCTGGGCCTCTCCGTGAGAAGAGTGCGGCCGTTTTGGCAGCCACCCCAACCTTCCTGGCTGTGGAGACAACACCCAGAGCCCCAGCCCCTCAGGGACCTGAGCTCAGGAGATGCCCCACAGGCCTCAGTCCGGGGCCTGTGCTCCTCAGGGACACAGCAGCTCGAGCCTAGAAGAGGCCCTGGGTTGCAGTTGAGGAAGCCTGGGGAGCAGCCGCCCAGAGCTGTGTCCAGGCACTCGGTCCATGGCCTGCAGGCAGCCTGCCCATGGGGACCCGCAGCTGTGCCCGCCAAGCAGCAGGGTCATCCAGGTTCCCTCCAGCAGGAGGCATCGGAGGGCACCTGAGATGCATGTACAGGTTCTTAGGGATCGAATGGAGCCACAACTCGGTTCAAGCAGCCAGTCCAAAGTGGACCCAGTTCCAAATGCAACTCAAAGACTCTGAAGAGGTCTTCACCTGCTGTCAGTTACTCTGATGGCTTCCATATGACCCTGGAGAACCCCAAACCAACTGCCGTTGGAGAAAAGCTACCGTCGAATAAGGAGCTCAGGCTAGCTGCCTGTCGGGGTACCAGGGGGAGGCTTTACCCAGTAGAACACCCCTACCTTCCATTGCAGGTGCTCGTCCTTCCTGCCACCACAGCAGGGTCCCCGCCGAGACTCCCCGCCCCAAAGCCCAGCCCGGTGCCCACCACCCCACTTTATCCGGCCAGCTACCAGGCAGAGGGCAGGAAGAGCAACTGGCCATGTGGATTAGGGGCTTATCTTTAGCGGTTTGCTCTCCCCACTCACTGTGCACACCCAGGAGCCCTGAGCCTGATAACCACTTGGAAGAGGCCGGCAGTGGAGCCTTCGGTAAGTGAGAGGAATCTGCCTTTAAACTCATGGGAAGGTTCAGATAGCTTGCTGGGGAGGAATGACCCTGAAGGACCCCAGAGGGGATGGGGTGGGAGCCACTATGCAGGGTCACCTAGAGGCACCTGTGCACTCCATGCCCTGGGCTGCCTCACAGCCTCGCCCTCCCCACCTCAGCCAGGCACAGCAGGCGGGGCTGGACCAGAAAGGTCTGGCCTTGGTGTTCTTAGCCCACTGCCCTTTAATTTTCTGCTCCTCTCTGACCACGGTGCCTGGCACTGGAGCCCAGCGCGTGTGGTTGAGTGAACAGTGTGCTGCTCTGGGAGGGCAAGTGGCCCACAGGTGTGCCAGTTCCCTTGGGGCACTACCTTGGGGAGACCCTGGCAGTGTTAGGGGACAGGGGACACCAGCAGTACTGCCATGCTGGTTCCTGTCCAGGGGATGCATCACAGTCTCCCCACAAGCCTGGACGGAGCAGGCATCTTTCTACTCTGAGACACTGCAAGGCTGACATGGAGGAGAAGGTTTAACACCTGACCGGGTGTCCTTGTTGGGGGTTGGCCTTATCTGCTCACCACCACAGGTGGGGGAGGGGTGGGAGGGGACAGAATTCTTGGGGCACTGCCTCCTGCCTAACTGGAAACTAAAGACTCCGTCCCAAGGCCACTGGCATAACCCTCAGCTTAAAAAAAACAACCTAACCAGGCCCGTTTGAAATGAATAAAACTAAAAAAAAAAAGACCGTACCCTTTTATGTAATGATGTTTACTTTGAATTTATATTAGTTCACACAAACACTCCATCCATGCTTTTGTTCCGGCCCTCCGGTCCAGTTTAAGAACCCATTGTGGCCCTCGAGTCAAAAAGTTTGCCCACCCCTGCCCTAACCGGTTTGGCTCAGTGGATAGAGCCTCTGCCTGCGGACTCAAGAGTCTCAGGTTCGGTTCCAGTCAAGGGCTTGTACCTTGGTTGCGGGCACATCCCCAGGAGGGGGTGTGGAGGAGGCAGCTGATCAATGTTTCTCTCTCATTGATGTTTCTAACTCTCTATCCCGCTCCCTTCCTCTCTGTAAAAAATCAATAAAATATATTTTAAAAAAATAAAATCCTGAACCATAGGGGCAGCTCCTGTTTACAGATCTTTTCCTGGGCTCCCCTGGGATCCCCAAGGCCGCAGAGTACACGTTTGCCCAGTTACAGGTGCAGTCAGCCCTTGCTCCCCAGCCCACCACCGGCCAAGGGCCACCACTGATTCCCGCAGCCCCGAGCCTGTGAAGGAGCCCTCACCGGTCGGTCCTTGCTCAGGCCCTTGCTCACCCACTCACCCTTGCACACCCACTCACACCCTCCTGAGCAGCCAGCCCCTGCTCGGGACCCTGGGGGCACTTGTGGGCCTGTGATTACGGTCCTGGTTCGGTCAGTGTCCCTCCGTGGCTGCAGGAGGTTGAGCCACAAGTCCTCTCCAGCCCAGAGCACCTGCAGAGCAGGGTGGGCAGCGGGTGCCCAGCCCGCCGGCTCCCCGGCGCCCCTCCCGGACTCCCGCGTGCGCCTGGACTGAGCACTTGCGGGGTGGGGCGCTAGGGCCGCGGGGAGAGGGGGCGGCCCCTGGGAACCTCGGGAGCCGAGCCGTCCCCCTCCGGGGATCCAGACTTCTCCTGGGCAGGGGGAGGGGGGCCGAGCGCAGGTGACTCCCCAGCAGCACCCCCTGCACGGCTCCCAGCGGCTCCTCCCTCCGGACGGGGCCCGAGGGCGCCCGGCAGCTGGAGGACGCCCGTCCCAGCCGCCACCGCGACACCCGGTGCCACCCCGGCGTGGGCACCCCGGCCGGACCCCGCCCTACCTGCTGCGCCCTGAGCCCCGCCCCGAACCCCGCTC